TTGTAGTGGAGGACAACGGGCAGCCCTCTCGTTCAGCTACAGTGAATGTGAACGTGGCGGTGGCGGACAGCTTCCCTGAAGTGCTCTCGGAATTCGGAGACTTCTCACAGGACAAGGATTACAACGACAACCTGACTTTTTATTTAGTCTTGTCTTTGGCGGTAGTCTCCTTTCTCTTTATACTTTTCCGTCGTAGTCCTGCTCTTAGTGAATTTGCACCGATGGTGACAATCGCGTTTGTTCTATTAATTACTGTAAATGGGATGATAATTGTTTTTGCAAGCGCTTATTATCCTTCCCTTTATGCAGAAGCTGCAGCTACACGAACTCTTCAGCACGTGTACAGTTATGGATCTTAAGTATGTCAGACCCAATAGTCAAATGTTCTTAATTCATAATGCCAGTTCATCGGAATCCTTGCCGCATTATATATATAAAAAAAGAACATAACACATAAACAGATCGCTTTGGTCCTACCTTACAAGTGAGCGACATTTAAAAATGTTTTTTAATTTACATTTGTAACTTAGCAGAATTTTTATTGTGACAGGTATCGTATCTACTCAGGTTTGAGTTGTCACATTATGTGTAAAGAATGATATTTTTATACAATGCAAACACAAAACGATACTGAATAAAAATACAACTAACTTTATTTTTACTACATAAAATGTAGTAGTTTTTTAAGTATTACTAAAGTGTGAAAAGTGCCCAGTGAAAAGTGTCCACTATATACTTTAGATTTGCATGGTTGATATATGTTAATATTATCTAAGACCAAATGTTCAGCCTTGCCTTTATAGTGCATTCATGTTTGCAGATCCTATCTACTAATCTTTTCTGTACTGACAGTTAAAGTTGATAGTTTTATAACAGACATTTATGTTTCATATAATACCCTGCTTATTTTCATAATACGCGGTAAGCGGAAATGCATTACGTTAGAATACAAATATAATAGATTTCAACTTACAATCATATTCGGCTTCTTCAATATCTGTTGTTCTTTATTTGTACTCTAAGTGCCGCTGTTGATCAATGGAGCAATATTATCGAAGCAGAAAGCCAGCAGGACCTCCCATATTATTGCGCTGTACTGGAGAGACAGATACAGAAAGACGCGCAGACTCGCTTTACAGCTCTGGGATGAAACAGATTCAGTCTATAACACTCTCCAACATTTTCATTCATTTGATCATTTTCCGTATCATGTCTATATGATGGGCAAAATCCTTGAAGTCGAATTTAAATCGATCGTGATGAACAGTTTGGAAACGCTGGGATTTACTCGATCTGCACTGGCGGAAAGAAAAAATTGCAGGACCTTAAAATGGCAAGTACTGCTGTTGATTGTGTGTTTGTGCAAATCCGTGTTAGTTACTGGACAGATTCGGTACTCGATTCCAGAAGAATTGAAGAAAGGCTCGTTAGTAGGGAATATCGCTCAAGACCTGGGAATAGATCTGAACAGACTGAGAGCCGGTCGGGCTCGCATTGTGACTGAAGACAGCACCCAATATACCGAGCTAAAGACAGACAAAGGGCTTTTGGTTGTTAAAGAAAGGATAGACCGAGAGCAACTGTGCGGTGAAATATCTCC